GGATGGTGAGTAGTTGATTTGGCCTCCCCCAGTAGTGTCAACAACGCGCTCCCACTCTCAAGGATTGGATGGTTTGCCGCACTGAATGCTGGAAGGTGAAAGGCATCTGTTGAAATGTAAATAACATCTTGTGATTTAGGGCTCAACGAGTGTAGACAAGTTGCTCTCACACTGTGCAGGGCATCACATGAAGGCGCCGTTCAAATCACATACATAAACACTAGAAGATGAAGACTTAGTGTGCTGAATCGGCGAACCACCATCAGGCCTCCACAAGACAAGCAGTAATTTGCTAATTTTCACATAAAGCCATGAAAAGGCCAGCTTTAAATGTGTTGGTGAAAATGCAGTTTTGTTGGATTGACAATTTTTCGTTTCACCTTCTTTCTTCTCCATTGCAGTGGTGAAGACTCGTCTCCAGACGCTATCACATCTGAAAGGTGAGACACAATTTACGGGTATTGCAGACTGCTTCTATCGGACCTTTCAACGAGAGGGATTGCGAGCCCTCTTCAAGGGTGCTGGATGCCGTGTCATGGTGATGGCACCGCTCTTCGGCATCGCACAAACCGTCTATTACCTTGGAGTGGCAGAATTCCTTCTAGGTTTGTGCAAACCAATGCACCTCTAGACTTCACAATCCTTCATCTCTCCTCTCATTTCACCAACCAATCAATCAGGCGACCGATTTTGTGAAAGAACTTCTTGATTACTTCCAAAATTTTGTACAATCAATTTGTTTGTCTGTCTGTATGTGATTGCTCATTTGGTAGTACGTTTGAAGTGTCGATCTTTTGTAGGGTGGATGATGAGGTTGTGGAACAACTAGGCTTTGTCTTTTGTTATTCAAAGCTGTTGGGTAAAATTGACCCAATAATAAGGCATCGACTGCTGGAAGTCTGGCAGTTTTCAAACGTAGGGACTATCTGAACAATTGTCAGTTGTCTAACCGTCCGTTTTTGCGATTTGTGGGACGTAGAGTTGGCCTGGAAGTTGTTTGGATAGGCTATGTTTGTGGGTGTGTTTGTGTGTGTGAATGGAGGTCTTGTGAAGGTGAGAGGTGCCTCCATGTCTGCAGGTTCCCTTGGGTAGAATTCAACCTCAGCAGAATCTGTCATTGGAGTGTGACAGGCGAGTTTAAGAGCGGCATCAGTTGGTAAGCTGTGTGATTGTCAGCTGGAGGAGATATGTTTCGCAAGGAGTCTAGTTGTAGCAACTTGCAATTTTCCATTCTATGATAGAGGACGTAGGACCAATCACAAGCGGGTAAGGCCAGCCAATGGGTGGAAGATCGTTCTGAGCGGTTGGTCCTCGTGAAGTTGCGATTGCTCTGTGCCACCGCTCGATTGGGGTAGGTAGAATGCTGGTGTTCCTCCTTGCTGACGTGTGTGTGTCTGAACAAAGCTCATGTCACGAGTCTGAGGAAACGATGGTCATAGGGTGGTCTGACTGTCTCGTGTTTTGATTGGTCGAGATCATGTCGTTGATTATTGGATCGCATAAAATCTGTTCAAAAGTGACACTGGTCAGATGAAGGAGTCCAGATGAAGGATGCGTATGTTGAGATGCTTGATAATTCGTCTGGTTAGCACATTTTGATTGCGGGCGGAAAAAAGTCCTCCAGGACGTTGAAT